TACCAAAAGCTTGCCACGCAAACCCAACACAATTTCCATCCCTGCGGTCTGCAGCAAGGAGGAGTGTTCCCACAGCGATGGAATTGTGCAGCACAGTGGTGAGCAGCATGATTGCTGTCTTCTTGGTTCTGCATCTGGGTGAGTCCTTGGCTCAGCGAGCCCTCCCAGTTCTTATGGCCTTTCCACAGGCCTCACAATATTTGGGGTGGTTTTAGGCTCCTCATGATTTGCCATATAACGTAACTCACAGGGCTTAGAGCAGGCTCCTTCCAGCAATGCGGCTGTGACAGCTGCCTTCTTACCTTGTCTGGCCCACCCCTGCAGATTAGGACAGAGGGCCTAGAAGCTCAGGGGCTCCCTACATTCATGCCCTTTTATTTCAGAGGCAGCACAGACAGCTCAAGCTTTGGGACTCAGGTTGTTCCCAGCCTGCCCACTGAGCCTGCCAGCCATAACCAGGGTGTCTGGAGCATCACCAGGTTTGGGGAGCTGCCCCGTAAAGATGCAGGAGTGGGGGTTCCTGTGAGAGCCAGGGCACACACTGAGCAGAGAGTGGAAAATACTGCCCTCCACATTGCCTCTAGCTGCCTGGGCAAAAACATGTGTGTTTCTCATCACAGATTTGCCTTTACAAGTATGATGCTACTGGCTTGCTCAGTTTGACTGCTAATGTTTTAAGATTTGGTGGACTTTTTAGTGTTCATTTTCCAAGAAAGGAAGACAACTAAGGCCAAGCCTGCATTTCTCAGATACTCAGCTGTGATTCCTCTGGTTGCAGAGGAAAGATTGGAATTCTTTTATGCACCCTAGCACCAAAAGCAAAGCAGAATATACCAAATCTTATTAATAGCATTCATAATTTCACAGTTTAAGACAAGTTCATCATTTTCTGTGGTCCAGTGTGTAATTATTGAAAACTTGTATTGGCAATGTTGCAGATCACCTATGCTCTTGGAGGAATATGTAACTTGTGGAAAACCCTCCCTTAAATTCATGTAAACTTTTTATTTTGCGTTTCTGTGGCTCTCTAGCACGAGGGTCACCTGGGGGATCTGCAGGTTAGGCAGCTCTGAGAGCTTACCAGCAGGAGACCAGAACCCCCTTATTCCCAATTGTATCTCTGGCAACTCCATCTCCTTCTTATGGTCTCCTGCAGAAATTCTCATTACAGTGAAGGAAATGAAGTGGTTCTTCCAAGAAACCACTCGTAATATTTCTTCGACTTTATACAGCCTTCTTATTTTACCATCACATAGGAGTGAAAAATTCAGAAACTGAGGTTAATCTTCCCAATATTTGGGAAAGGGAGAAGAAATACCTGGATCTTTCTGGAGGGATGGGAAGTATTCACTGACCCACGCTTCAGAAAGCGAATGTATGCCTTAACTTTCAGGTCTGATCCCCATTATGGCTCAGCAAAGTGAACTACAGATTGGGGTTGCAGGACAGGCAGTGATCCTGAACTGCAGAGGCATACCTCATCACACAGATGTGATCTGGAAGTACTACAAGGCTGTTATAAGGTTGTTTAGAGGTACTCATTTGAAAGGTAAGGCTTTCATTTCATCACCCCTTCTTCCCACTGTATGGCTGAGAAACCTCTTCCCTCCTAGCTAAACTTATTTTTTCAAAAGGCAAAGCCACCATGACTGATCGATCTGAAATCAACCCCAACACTAAACACCTGAAGGTGTTGGACCTAAGGCTCTCCGATGCTGGCATCTACACCTGTGAATATGACTCTCACACAGTCAGTATCTCACTGCATGTCTTTAAATGTGAGTGATTAGAGGGCTTTTATCCATGAGGAGGTGAGGGAGGAGGAGACTGTAGAGCTTGCAGAGACATCTCTGTGGGGATTCTCCATCTCCAGGGCACAGAGTCTCTGTATTCTCTTTGCTGTGACACTTGTCCCTCTCTCACAAGAAGAGGACTTGACTTACTAGCTGCACTTTTTCTCTTTACAGTGACGATCTCTTCAGATGGGCACTTCCTGCCAAATGAAGTCCCTGAGCTGACTGTAATGCAAAATTCGTCTCATCCTTTACCTGACCTCAAAATCACATTGTTTCACAGTAGCAATAACATAGTAAGACCAAAAGTCTCACAAGACAAGACCCATCAAAAATACAAAGTCATGTTAAAGCAACTGGAGACTACGGACAGTGGGACCTGGATATGTCATGTTCATTCAGACTCTCCATTGATTAATCAGAACATCTCCTTTGACATAAAGGTATTAGGTATGTGACAACAAAAATGCAACTCAAACACAGACTTGAGAACCAGCTCATGAGCTGAGCTTTCACGTTCCAGCATCCCAATGGTGCTACAGGGTCAGTTTCCCAGGGCTTCTAACATTGCAGCTTGGGGATTGCTCTGCTGCCTGAGCTCTGTCCCACACTTGCTCCCATTTTCCTTTCCAGATTTGCCCTAAAAGATCCCGCTCTCCTTGGGATCTGTTCTTCTCAGCTCTGGTGAGCTTGGGAGCTTTGGCTCTTTAAACCTATTCTCAGACACAACTGTTTATCCTTCCTGGGGTATCTCATGGCTTTTCTCCAAGTCGTCTTTCAACTGAGCACAGCGTGCATCTCTCCAGATCAAGGGTGGACATGGGGAAGTGAGTGTAGCCATGGCTTTCCCTGCCTCTGTATTCCTTGTCTCTTCTGAATTCAGGTTTTCAGCATCCAGCCTTGGAAAGAAAGTATGCGACTGTTAATAGCACTGTCATCTTGTCATGGCAGCTGAACTTCCAGGAGATAAAATGGAAGGAAGGTTTCACAGGACAGCTGAATTGGAAACAACAGGAAAGTGCAACCGCTTATGAGCTACTTGATTTCAATGTCACAGCACGGGGAGAGCAGCATGAGACCGAAAAAACCAGCCGCTTTCAGTTTGAGATACCTGAAAGCAAACCTAAAAGCACCATAGCAGTGAAACTCCCCAAAGTCCGTTTCGACCACTCTGGTCAGTACCAGTGTCAACTGGTGTACAACGGAAAATATGTGCAGAGCAAGACAGAGCTGGTGGTGATGAAAGGTGAGAGAAAGACAAGTGGGTTAATAGATTAAGAGCTGCACAAATCTGGAAGCCACAAGAGTATGGATGGACACATCTTCCCAACCTCTTGCTCACATGTCCTTTTTTACCTTTACAGTCTCAGCTAACCCTGTTGGGCCACTCCCCAGAGGGGCCGAGACAACCCTGATTTGCCAGGTCTCTAGTCCACTCCCATCCAACGCCCACTTGTGCTGGGAACGTGTGAATGGGACTCGGATGGACATCAAGAAGTCAAAGCAACATGAAGCAAAGGTGGAGGTGAATGTTAGTTCTGCAGGGCTGTGGAACTGCCACCTCATAGAAGACAACGACAGGAAGATCAGCCTTAATTACCCCGTGGGTATGGAAATTAGCATCACATCCCTGCCTCCACACAAAAACCTTAAAATTCTCTTTGTATTTGTCTCTAAATACTTTTCTCCTTCCATAGAGGAAGCTCCTGTTTGGATTAGCTATGTGGTAATTGGAGCAAGTATTGGAGGCAGTGTGTTGGTGTTTGGCCTTGCATGCCTGTGCATCATCAATGGTATAAGTTGGCAGCGGAGAAGGGTGAGTGCCCTGGTCCCAGTGAAAGGTGAAGAGATGACAGTCTCCCCAAACCATAGGAGGAGTCTGATTTTCCACCTCAGTGCAGAGCAGAACAGATTAAGGGTCAATCCTTAGACAAAGCAAATGGTTAGAGATTGACGGGCTGCAGATGTCAGACAATACTTTGCTACCACTTCAGAGGATAGCATTTGAAGCATAAAAATACCCAATTGTTATTTATCCTTTCTCTCCTGGCAGCAACGGGCAAAAAGAATGGCACAAGCAAGACAATACTTGCTGGAAAACAAGACATGTCAGTGTCAACAGTAAGTGGCAATGAGGGCATCTAGAATGGGCAAAAGACTCTGATTTCGAGACAGGGGAACTGGATGGTCACGTGGGGAAAAATGGAGCCTGAGCCTGTTTGGTGCTACAGTACAGCTGCATTTCAGCATTTTCAGCTCTTACTAATGTTAAATCATGTTTAAGAGTTATGATCTATGCTCAATGAATTTCCTGCTATGTCCCAAACCCGTGGTAGCACTGTCCTGGCAAACTTTTGAGCAGAGGGGTTTTACGTGAATTACCTTGATGTTGAGAAATGCTGGCCAAACCCAAGCAGGAGCTCTAGCATCCTTTGATAGATTCCATAGTGGATCTGGAACTTGGATATCAAGGTTGTGAAGGTGGAAGGCACACAACCAAGCTCAAGGATGAAACCCAAATTTTAAAAATCCATTATGTCCATAATGTGATTCCAGCTCTGCTAGCATAGTGCTGGACTGCAATTTGTGGAAATTGCCAATAACCTCATGGGAGCAAGGAAAAAGAGGAGAAAACCACAGCACACTGTGAACCATGCCCTCTCCCAAAGACCTTGAGTGATATGAAATACACCATTATGTCCTGGTCCTTTTCATGGGAGCAAGGATTCCTCAGCAGGGACGCTGCCCTTTTCCAGGTCTTTAAGCTTACATGGTATCGGGCATTAGAAGCAGCTGTGGAGAAACACTGACAGCTATTCTGTCACTGGAAGTGGAGAGCTAAGGACAGTATAAATGATTGCATGATCAAGTTCAGTGGATGTATAGGTACAGAACTGGACTTCTGCTTAATTTTCACTGGTGACAGTGGCAAACTGTGCCAGTTTCAGTGGTTTGTTTTTTTTCACCATCTCTGAGAATTCAGTGAGAATGTTTATTGGCAAACACTACTTCATTGCTGGGATGTATATGCAGAATTGGTTAGCATTACGTGCATCAAAGAATTCACCTCATTTTCGCCTACTTTTTATCAAGGTTGAAAAATAATCCCCGTAAGGAGGGGACAAAGCCCATACAACTACATCAAAATCTGTGCAGTGCAAGTGCTGATACAGTTGTTCTTTAACTCTCTTGGCCAAGTAAGCAGCTCCGTATTACTGAAACCTAAACCACAGCCATGTGGATGCACAAGTAACCATTTGCATCCTCAGCTACAGAGGCGGGCAGTCATTCTCTACACTAAGCAAAAAAGTGGGGGGGTTGGCTGGTATCCAAGTGAAGCCTTTCACCTCTACAATACCGGTACTCACACAGTACTTTTCTCTTGCAGCCGGGTGAATAAGTAGTATTGCAGCACCGGAGTCAGAAGGACTGATGAAGTCTCTGCCTGTACCTAAATGTCTGCCAGCTCATAGTGCTCCGTGAATCCATCTCCTTTTCTCCTGTTTCGATGTAATTCTTTATTCCTTCATCATTCTCCCAGTCTAATGCTCTGGAGGGATGTTGTCTGGCTAGGAGCAGATGGACAAGACAAGAAACCTTATGATTAAGCCTCAGTTCTGTAATGAGAGACACTGAATAGAAGATATATATACATATATATATGTGCTTGTATTTTGCCCATGCACTTAATTTTACCTTCTTGTGGAACCAATTTTATATGCTGCTTTTATCTGCCTGAGCTACAATAAATTACATTGGGGTTGTTTAGGGATTTTTGCAAGCTGGACTAATTTTTTTTTCTGAGGCACTCTTGTCTGGTTCAGATTCACATTTCTCCCTTTCCTGCTAGGATGTGGCATCCTGATTCTAACTATCTCCCACCTCCCTGACTGGCACAAGCCTTCCTTAACATGCCAGCCCTCTGCTCTCTGTGAAACGTGTCCATCCTTATTTACCTTTCCTGGGCAGTGTGAACCCTACAGTGCACTCCCCAGCCCCATCCCTCAGACTGTAGTCTTCACCTCTCCCACCACAAACCAATGCACAAGTAAAACTACCACGAGCAGTGGGATTACAGCTTCTGGAGATTAGAGCCTGAAGAAATTGTGAATGTTGACCTAGAAGGTAAGTTTGGGAGGGGGTGACAAAGTCATTTCCTAGGAGAACAAACCAGCCTCAGACTTTGCGAGCCTGCAGAGAAGAGATGCTTCTGAGAAAACCACTGAAAACAGCCCCTTATTGGCTCAAGATTGGAGTGGGAAGCCCAGGAAATTTAGGATGGAAGTAAAAGCGTGTTGCAGACATGCCAGAATGTCCTAAAAGAAAAATACTGTTAAAATATGTACACAGAAGCTCTGTGTTTATAGAAGTTATTCTACTGTCTGCTAGTGGTGGGTCAAAAAGTCCTTGAAGTCCTACAGCTGTCACTGGCTGCGGTCCAGGTTTGTTCGTCTGCACTGGGCTTGGTGGGGAGAGGCAGAGAAGGGCACGGGGCTGTGGGAAGGGCTCCCCATGATGGAGACCCCCCCACAGGATGCCCAGTGATGGAGAAGGGAGTTTCTCTGTAGCAGTCACGCCAGCATCGCGCCGTTACCGACAGAGAAAAGACAGGTGGCAACAACGGCAAAGACAACACCTGTGAGCTGGGGCAAATCTTCACACACACCACAACACCCCACCACCCCCCCCCCATCTCTCCCCTGGAGCGGGGATGCAGCCCCAGGCAGCTGTGGCAGCAGGTGTGGGACACCATCAGGGTCATGCCTCCTCCTCCACTATCGTCCTCACACAAACAGGAGTGACGAAGGCTCATGCTAATGCCATTTGCCTTCCCATAGCTTGTGCCTGTGCACACAAAACTACATTAATTTTGGAAAAGCCTTGGTCCGTATCCTGGTGCATGCTCCTCCTGCTCCTGTCCTGTCCCTGAACTGCCAGTGTAATTTGGGAGCCAGTTGAGGTCCAACAGCCTGCTAAACAAGGCATCTTCAGGGCTTAAGGAGAGGTCAGTTTTGGGAGCTGTATGAGGGGAAAATGAGCACAGGGTCAGTGGTGGTCAATGTAACGATCCTGACAAAGTGCTTGGCACAGTCCCCTCAACCAAAACCAACCCCTGCTCCTGCAGTCCAGACCTTCTCCTTAGACAACTGCTTGAGTGCCCAAGTCTGCTCCTCTCCCCACTCACATGGGTGCCCGGAGCAGAGGGATTATCCTGTACCAGCTGATCCCCAGGTGGGACAAAGCAGCATGCATCATGAGCTGCTCCAGCACTGCAGCCATCTCCAGCAGTTCAGATGCTCACCTGAGGCTCTGGCAGCTGAACCAACCACCTCTGTACCTAAAAAACACGAGCCTTAACTTTTTCATTGAGAGCATCAGCCTGACAAAAAAAGACTAAGCTAATAGGCCTACCTGGCCTCCAGCACAGGGTTCATCAAACCGGGATGAAATGCATGGGTAGCAGAGAATGCCCACAGTGGTGGCTCGGAGAGCATGTGCTGCCTGAAAGCGCTGCCCGCAGCTGTGTGAGGCCAGGAGGCAGCACGCCTGCCCCAGCACAGCCCTGATCTCACCCTTGCAGGTGGCAGAGCAGTCTCCAAGCCAGGCTGGTCCTTTCATGTGGCCAGGAGTGGCTTGCAACCCCAGAGACACATTCTGCTCTCTTCCAAGGGCTGGAAGAGGCACGCTGAGTCCCCACAGGAAACCAAAGGCTGTGTCCCCATTCACAGCTGGGACCAACCTGCAAAGCACGGTCAGGTTCACACTCCCGCCATCGATGCAGAAGGTCCCTCCACACATTTCCAGGTGGCCTGGTTGGCGTTACAGCAGATGCGATGGTGCCACTGGGATGCCTGTAAGTGCACAGCCGCATCCACAGATGCACAGCTTCCAGCTCTCACATCTGGATGGGTGTAACAAAAATGATAAGCCTTCCTCAACACAGCAACACAGCGCATTTCTTCAGTAGGGCTCCTGATCTCAGCGGTCATGACCCTGCCCTACTCTACTTGAAACTCACCTGCAAGCACAAACCACTCTAGGCTCCGATCTCATCAATCTCTTTTTTTGGCAGCTTTCCTGTCTGTATCTTTTCACATGACGACCTTCTTTGCTCCCTAGATGCACAGACTGCCCTGATTGAGAGAAAAGTCATACACAGAGTGAGTCCTAGATGGGCTTTGCTTTCCATCTGAGTGCTATACTGAAAACTTCGGTGTGGGCTTCAAGGCAGTACAGAGGCGGAGGTTCAGAGCAAGTGAGAACAAGCTTGCACACATCAGTGTTGATGGAGATGTACTTGACAAGTCCGCAGCTGGAGTGGACTGCAGTAACATCTTGCCCAGGCCTGGGCTGTGGTAATACAACAGCAGGCTACCTTTCTGACACAACATGCTGTCTTTGCAGCCTGTGCAGCAGGTAACACTGTGGCAACAGTCCTCCTATGCGGCAGTGGAGACAGAGATGAGAAGCCAGGTGTCCCTATCAGATCACTTTTGTGTGGTCCCTTCCTTGTGGCATCCTAGGGCTTTACAGGCTGTGTTGCAGGTATTCTGGTCCTCCTTCTCAACAGGCATTGAGGACTTCTCCCTTTGCTCGGTGTGACGAGGGTGTATCTACACTATGCAATGGAATAATGCCTCTGCACAATGCAAACTACAGTGATGTACAACTCTACAAAGCAACAAACACAATGACAGACATATTTTATCATGTGGTGACAGCTCATCAGAGTAGCCCTGAGATGATGGCAGGACTCAGGCATACATGGCAATACTTACAAAATTACAATGGCAGCAAGAGCTCCGGGCAGCGATGTGGGAACATCAAGGAAAGCAAGAGTTTAGAAAAAACTGAGAAGTGCTGTTTTTCCCTAATGTGTTGGTCTTTCTGGTTCTACTGTTCCCCACGTTTCTAGGCTGCAGAAGGAAAAAAAGTACATGCTTCAGTCCTTTGGACCCACCACCAACACATGGCCCCTTGTCAGGAGCCACAGACCTGCTTGCTCCAGTGGAGGAAGGGCCTTGGGCGCAGCTGAGGTTATACTGCTCTGTCCAGTTCTGCTGAACCACAAACACACAGGCTGAAATAACCCCGGCCTTCAGCCCTACCTCCCCGAGCCCCTCC